GCCCATTTGTTTAGGTATTGTCTATGGCTACTTTGTGTTACAGAAGCAGTGTGGAGTAGGTATGTTAAATAGTTGCAACAGAGGCTACATGTTCTACAAAGAATAAAACATACTTTGGCCCTTTATAGAAAAAGTTTACTGATCCTTGGTCTAGAGGACTTCACTCACATAAAATAGTCATTAGGATCTGAACCTTGGAGTCAGTTAGATCCAATTGTGATAGGAATGGTGCCACTTAGAATAGTGCAGTGTACAACCTGTTCTACTGTAAACACAGCCCTACCTGAGCAGAATTTACTGCAGATTTTTGGATGTTCGGCAGAAGGAAGAAAGAAGTATCTGTGAAATGTCATTGCCTCATAGGGGACTAGATTGCCTGCTGAAAGTAGACAGTATGAGGTTTGGGAAGATCTGAGCAGACAGGGAGGTGTTTCTAAATTTAGACTCTCCAAAGCCGATTTGTAAACCAGAGCCCCAAGTATCCCAGAAAGGGACAGTCGGCACACACTATCTCATCTCTGGTTTTCTTCCACCTTTCAAAAGGCTTTCTGAGTGAGAGAAAAATTAACTGGACTCGCATGAGCTGTTGTTGGAGAGTCAGTGAGAAATCAGGCAAGAGTTAAATCTCCACTGTTAGGAGTCCTGGGCTAGAAATTTCTTTTTCTGTGTTTTGTTACGATGCTTGCCACAGAATTGTGAGAGCCAGGGCTGCCTTTGCAGGAGTCAGACACATTCCTCTAGCTTCGTGGCATCCCAACACAGCTAAATGGGTGACCTTCCCATTTTGTCAGAGTGAATGCTACCTCTCTGGGTTTGAAATCACACCTGCGATTCTGAGCAGCTCTGAGCCATCACCTCCACATGGAGAATGGCTGTACTTCACCTTGAGCAGCAGCTCTGCCCAGAGAGCTGCAGTGCCAATTCCACTGCCCTGGGGCATGTCCAGGTGCCATCTGTCCCTCTCCAGGGATGACGGGCCCTGACTCTCCACATACCGTGCCAGAAAGGAACCACTCATCTGAGACTTAGTAGAGATTTGATGTTTTGTAAATCAGCACACCTGTGAAGGGCCAAGATCTGCTAGATATTAGTGAGGAACTGAAAAAGATTTGAGACCAGATGAATAACAGCAAACTCGAGTGAGAACAGAGAATGGTCAGGCGAAGGCTGCCTGATTAGCGGTTGAAAACCTGAGAGAGAACATCTAAGCAGCCAAGGATGCTGGAAGGGGTGAAGTTGAAGTTCAGGAATTCTGGACTGTCTGAGTGGTTAGGGCTCATTGTGACAAGAGCCTTAGCACGTTGCATCTGACAGCATACACAGGGAGAGATGTCCACCGTCCAGGAAACAGGGCCATAACACTACTTGGTCCTTCCAGTACGTAGGCATTTTCTATGTACAACTTCATGCACAGACTTGTGAAGCTTAAAGTCTAGATAAGAGCCGGGCACATATACAAACCTATATAACAGCCCAGGTCAATGTATAGTAAATGTCAACTTCGGTATACACAAGAGCAGCCCAGAGTTTAAGAAAGGCAGAGAGGTGACGGAGCCTGGGATGGACCCTTCAGAGAGGAAGGGAGGCCTTGTATGGATTCTGAGGGCCATCAGATTTCAGCAAGTGAGAAGAGACAGGAGGACACTTCTGGAGCCAGGAAGGCACCAGCAAAGAAGCCAGGAAGAATTAAAAGTCTATTTAGGGTCCATGAGGAAGGTGGAGTGGCTGCAACCTGGCCTTCCCCCAGTGACAGCACACTGGGAAGAGCACTCTGAGAAAGTGACACAGACTCATGGGAAGATGGTCCCTGCGATGTGTGAGAGGAAGAAGAAAGTTTAAAAATAAGTGAAGCGCCTGTTAATTATTCATAGATTATCTGCATTGCAGTGCTGTGTGATGTCATCAGCTGCTCCTATCTCTGTTTACAACCAGTGGGAGCTGGAAAGGGAAGAAAGCTTTGGTATGTCTCCTCATAGAGTGAAAAATGTCACTGTCCCCTGGGAATCAGACATGGTGGCAGGGGGTGGGAAGAGGAAGAAGTGAAAGGAGCTCCAGGTTATGTGGCATTACTAAGCTTGGCTGCAGGAGACAGAGGACATAACAGGGGCTGTGGGAGCACTGTGGTTCTCTGACTTAGGGGTCCAGGAGGACTTCACTAGCCCAGACCAGAAACTGGCTCACTGAGTAGGCCCAGCATCCAGCATCATCTCTATGTGGTCAGGTAGACTCAAACGGAGTGAACGGGTTCACAGAGCCTCAGGGTCCTCACCTGTGAAGTGAGAAGTTGGGCCAGAGTCAGTGTCTCCCGATGGAGATGCTCTTGACATTGGAGGTGGGGGGGGTCACTCACTAATGGAGTTGCTGTGTAGGCTGACTAACAGATCTAGCTCTACCCAATGAAGGCCAGTGGTGGCTCTTAATCAGATGAGCCAGGGAAGGCAGCACTGTCCCCAGCTATGACCATGGACTTGTTCACTAAGCTTGCTTCCCAACCTGAAGTATATTATTTTTGTTGATGGCTCAATAAAAACTGCAGAGCAGAATTGGTGAGGATTTGACAAGCCATCAGGAGAGTTGGCACGTCTCATTCAGATGTAAGGGAGTGCTTCGCAGCAGCACTAATAGCTGACATCTGTTGAGCTGAATACTTGCTGTGTTTCAGAGTCTTGGCAAATTCCCTTCATTAGAAGTCCTCAAGGGAGTCAGGTATGGTAGTGCATTGTCTGTAATCCCAGCCACTCTGGAAGCAGGGATCAGGAGAATTGCAGTTTGAAGTCAGCCTGGGCACAAAGTTAATGAGATTACACCTCACCAGGTGTGGTGAAGTATGTCTATAATCCCAGTTACTTGGAGGCATAGGTAGGAGGACGTGGAGCCAGCCCTGGGCAAAAACTCTAGACCCTATCCGAAAATTTTTTTAAAGGGGAGTGGCTCAAATAGTAGAGCCACCTGCCTAGCAAGCATGAAGCCCTGATTCAAACCCCAGTACCATTAAAAGGAAAAAAATCCTCAAAGGGGATCTGATTATTTACAATTTCAGATTGCCTTTGTCCCCACTTGCCACCTTAATTTCAGGACATTGAGTTCACGGTTGTTTTGTTTCATTTATCATTTGTGGAGTTGTGCAGTGTTCAGATGGGAAAGTGTCCTTACAGGGCCCTGCGACGTTGCGAATTCAGATTAAGATGAGTGGAGATGAGAATTAAGAAAGCAGCCTGGCCAGATTCCCTTCTTTGTGCGGGATGCAGTGTCCTTTCTCTATATCCATGGACTTTGTGAACTTAAGAAAAATGCCACTCTTTAGGAGCTATGATGCCTTCACTGTATCATAACATAGATATGATGTCATAGAATTGACATTGCTGGTTTTGCAGGTATTTTTTTTTCTTCCCACTTATGTCCTTTACCTGTAATTTAAGTTAGCAGCCACCAGAGGGGAACATTCAAGCAGGGATTTAACCTATCATTTTGAAGAGCTAGGCCCCCATCATAAAAAGAATACAGGGTAAGTCCTGCCAGCCCTTGTATAGCACTGGGAAGCCTGTGCTCTGGTTTCGGGGCAGAGTCCCTTTTTAATGAGTGGCAATACAGTTTCCCTATAATTTGGTATGGTGCTCTGTCACCTGCATGGAAAGCAAACAACACAAATGCCGTGAAATCTCAGTCCACAATAAATTCTCTCTTAAAATATTCAAAGGCACTTGCAAAAGAAATAAGTAAAGGGACTCACACGGGAAAACAACATTATCGATCCTCTCCTTTCTTCCTGCAACTAGTTCCTTTCGACTCTCGCCCTTCTTAGTCATAACAAATTAACTTTGCAAAGGTCAGAAGAGATGACTCCCACACACAGTCTGCAAGTGCTAACCTTGGGGGAGCGGGCATTGACATAAAAGGCCAGGATCCAATGGTCTTATCAAGTCAGCTTGGCTTCCCTCTCTGCCAGGGGAGTGCTGCACACAGCAGGCAGGGGGCTGAGCTGTGCGGAGCTGGAATCCCCTGAGCAAGCAGCGTTTCAGCTGGCTGGACAGATCAAATAACACTTGGGCTGGTTAACAAAAGACGCAAGTGGGAAGGTGTTGGAAGCTGGAGTGTGGAAATTTACCCAATGCTATTTCTTTGACAGGAAAGGAGACTCCATCTAAAAGATGTCACACTCCTGAGGCCCCGTTGCCAACAGCAGAACAGTTTTGGTCCAGGTGGCATGGATAAGTGGGTAAAAGAGGATGCTGCCCACATCTGAAACCTCCAGAGGACCTGAGCAGGCAGCTGAGCTCCCCTTGGACTTGGGATGGCAGGTGTAACTTGGCGTAGAACACCTTGAGAGGCGTGTGGCTTCCTGCAGCTTTTTCTCTCCAATACTCAGCAGACTGGTGTGGGTTTTGGAGTCTAAGGGTAGTTGGTAGAAAGGGAGCCAGCAGAAGTTGAAGGAAGCCCCTAGAGGCATCCAGAATCCGTTGGTGGGATCCTTTCGTACTGCTTAGAGCACAGAGGCTGTGGTACTACTGATGTGAGCTTTGGACCCTCTTAAGTAAAGGAACACAGCTCTGCAAACAGCCCCAGCCAGAAAGCTTGTCACAAGAATTCAAAGGTGTGTGTATGTGGGGGGAGGGAGTGGGGAGGGTGGAGGTTGCTGCATATTTTTCTCTGAGCTCCATGGTGATAGAAGACGTCACCTTCCCCCAGATAATGACACTGGCTTTGCCTTGTAAGATGCCAGATTTGAAAGAAGCAACAAGGAAGGTTCAGGAAGTCTAAGAGTTGGTGGCAGCCTTCCTAGTACAGGTGAGGAGAACTCCAAGCTGAGCTGATCGGTGAGCCAAGACGGCCACCATTCTTGTCTCCAGACTGCTGGTGGCAGTGACCTCACCAGGAGCAAAAGCAACCCTCAGCTGTGGGACAGGACAGAATGAAGTGTGCTAGGGAAGCCACTAGCGGGGACTTGACCTTTCCTGACTGCCCCTTCATCACACGGGCAGCCCCAGACCACTGAGCCAACGATGGCTGAGAAGGGCGACTGCATTGCCAGCGTCTACGGGTATGACCTCGGAGGGCGCTTTGTTGACTTCCAACCCCTGGGCTTCGGTGTCAATGGACTGGTGCTGTCGGCTGTGGACAGCCGGGCTTGTCGGAAGGTGGCGGTGAAGAAGATCACTCTGAGTGACGCCCGAAGCATGAAGCATGCACTCCGGGAGATCAAGATCATCGGGCGCCTGGACCACGATAACATCGTGAAGGTGTACGAGGTGCTGGGGCCCAAGGGTGCCGACCTGCAAGGCGAACTGTTCAAGTTCAGCGTGGCCTACATCGTCCAGGAGTACATGGAGACAGACCTGGCACGCCTGCTGGAGCAGGGCACGCTGACAGAGGAGCATGCCAAGCTGTTCATGTACCAGCTGCTCCGTGGGCTCAAGTACATCCACTCCGCCAATGTGCTCCACAGGGACCTGAAGCCCGCCAACATCTTCATCAGCACAGAGGACCTCGTGCTCAAGATAGGGGATTTTGGATTGGCGAGGATTGTCGATCAGCATTACTCACACAAGGTATGTCTGGCTGGAGTGGCAGCTGCCGTGGCCTGTAGACTCCCTGAGAATGCAAACAGTATTACAGAGGGGGTTCTAGCTCCATGGTAATGGGTATTTGGGGGAAGTTGGAGGGTGCTAGAAAGATCACTGGCCCCAAATGTTGTTGGGCAGATCCAGTTCCTAGTCTTGCTTCTGCCACATGGCTATGACCAATAACTCCAGGCTGTAGAAGAAGAAAGTTAGACAAGGAAATGTCTAAAATTTCTTCCAGCCCTAAACCCTATGGCTTTGAAATGTGTGGTTGGTGAATTTGCCTGTATGCCTCTTTTCCCTAATAGCTATATAATAATCCTCTCCCCACTGTCTGCTCAGGATACCCCTCAAGCCTTCCTACCTTATAAGCCTTATGCTTCAGGTTGACCTCTCATCAAAGCAGACTCATTCTGGGTTCCTTTCACTCTGTCCATTGACTGTGAGTACCAATGGCTAATCTAATAAACTAATGCTCAGTGTGCATTATCAGCTAATTTCTCAACCTTCCTGGGTCCTGTGAGACCCTCACCCCTCCATGTGATAGGAAAGGTATGGGTTGCAGGATGGTTCTATGAAGATCCTCCACGGGGGACAACTAAATGCTCCCCTAGCTCCAGGGATCAGAGCTGACCTGGCCACACAGATGGAGGCACATGTCACACTCACTTTTGTTCTCAAGACCCAAGAACTGCAAGTTCTCTGATTTTATATTCCTTCCTCCCCCACCCACCCTGGGATCTTACCACTTTAAGTTCCTCTGAGCCCCACCAGGCACCCACAACATAGATGGGGAGGGTGTTCCAAACTCCCGGCAAAATTTTTGTACCTTAAGATTATCTATCAGAGTAAAACATCCCCTAGGAAGCAGTTGATCCATGAACTTTTAACGTCCAGGGGAGGGGTAGGTCATGGACAGTGAGGGTGGCTCTGACTGTGATCAAGCTTCAGCCCTCTCTGAGATCCCATTCCTCTGCTCCGCCTTCCCCACAGAGAAGGGTGCCAACTGCCCGATCTGCCTGATACAGCTGCAGTGGGAGGAATCAGGGCGAAAGAGGTAGGATTCTCTCTCCACTCTCACTGGTTGGAACTTGGATTCTGGCCCATTTTTCAGACCCCACATCAGCCTAGCTGACTCTGGCTCACTGGGGCCACAAATTACTTTACTACCTTAACCATGAATTTGTCCTCTGTACCGGCACCTACAGCCAACTTTGTAGGCTGTGATTAAAAAAAAAAAAAAAAACCATGGTCGTACACACCTATAATCTCACTATTCAAAAGGTCCAAGGTCAGCCCAGGCAAAAAACATGAGAGTCTATATGAAAGGCAAACTAAAGCAAGAGGAGCTGGGGGTGTGGCTCGAGTAGTAGAGCACTTACCTAGCAAGCATGAGTCAATTCTGCAAACAAACAAAAAACAGCATCCTTTTCTGTCTTCCTAATGCACTGGGCTGTTTCCTCTGTGGAGAAATGACACCAAATGGTCAAATTAAAGGTTTTAACACAAATCAGTCTTAATTTGGTAAAAGGCCCAGAGAGTCTATACTATTTATATCTGGGATACATAAAAACCACCTAAATTGGAATAAGCCATACCTTTGGGAACCATAAAATGATGGAATAACTTAGCTCCATGTCACAGGAAAAGAGCTTGGGACAGCACAGATGGCCCTCGGTATGTGGGGAAGATCGCTTACTGGCTGTGGTAGTAATTCTTAGGAGGTGGCTTATGTGAGCAAGCACCCCTGCTCGAGAAGTCAGGGGTGTGGGCTTCCTGTTGACTGGCTTGGACATGGACAGTCACTCTTCCTTGGGAATCTCAGTTTCCCCGTCTTTGACAAAGATAAAAAATCCATGCCCTGTCTGTCTCCCTGGCTTGTGATTCAGAATCAAAATGGATCACAAAAGTAGAATTCCTTGCAAAACTGTAAGGACTACTCCATTCACTTCATGGGCGTTTGTTGAGTACCCACCAAGCTGAAGCCCAGTGTGAGGCTCCCACCACCCACCATAGGGGGCCACACTTGGTGTTGTCACTATGTCACTGCTACTTCCCCAGGCAGGACTTTTCATTTTCCCCATGCAGAGGAATTTAAACGTTCTGATTTACTCTCATCGGGCTCTCATCAATAAATTAACTGTGGGAGGTTTAAAAAATAATTGGAGCCAGTTACTAAGCCGGTGGGTGATCACATCATCCACACATCCCTGGATTTGGCAGGCACTGCCCACCCCGCCCACTTCCCCCATGTACACTTTCTGCTTTTAGCTTCCTGCCCTCTTTTCCCCCAGTGATGACGAAAAGGCTTTACATTTTGTTCCTTTATTTATCCAATGTGCATTTAAATCAGTTTTCACTTAATCCTCGTAATGACATGAAGCACTTAGGGCAAACGGTCCATTTGAAAACACAGAGAAATGGCTTTCTCACGCTTCCACAGCTAACTGTGGCAGAAGGGTCCTGAGAACCAAGGCCTCTCACATCCTATGGGGGAACTGCCTTTGTGCCATCTTCGTAGCGCAGTCTGCTTAGATTCTGGATGGGAATTTATTCTTTCTCTGAACTCCACTTTCGCTTTTCCCCATCCTATACCATGGATCTCCTAACACTGATCACATTCTCCTCTGTCCTATGGGGAGAGTCCCTTGCTCTTGAAGGTAGTCTCTTGTTCATGTTGGTTTCTCATCACTATACTTGAGACCTGACCCTCAGATGATTTTGTTGATGTTTGAACAGATGGGAGGACAGTAATCGACCAGTACATTGCAAACAAAAAGCTACTGGGCTCATTAATTCCAGTTAGAAGGTTTGACTCAGAGAAAGAGCTCTTCATTCTTTCAGATGATGGATTGGTTAGTTGGGGTCAGACATGTGCACCTATTGTGCACATTGCTCTCTCCCATGGGCTTAGAGGATGATGTCGACATACCAAGTGCTCTACACTTAACCTCTCCTGGAGTCTGATGGGTCCTGACTCCCTTTGAAGAGAACTGTGCTCACCTGGGCTGCAGCTGTGCCTTTATGTGCTTACAAAAACAGTACTCTCTCTTCCAGAGAGATCCAGTCCAGGGCCAGGGATGGGCTGAATAGTCCAGCTAAGGCCTGGATTGAGCCTCCTGGCTAAGCATGACTCTCCCAGCAGTGGGCAGCAGCCTACCTCTCACCCCTCTGTCTTTCTCACGGGTGGACCATGTGTCTTCTTTGCTTCTGTGTCCTCTCATCTGCCATGGGGTGGGTACCTGTTATGCTGGTCCAGTGAGGGGATACCAATGGAAATGGCCTTTTCTTCTCTGATGAGCAAGACTGGGACTCCAGGCACAATCAGGGAGCCTTCTGGGTCTGTGTCCCTCTACCCCAAGGGTGATAAAGGCAGGAGATAGCATTGGGTGGTGATGGTGGGAGAGGTGAGGGGCTCTGATGTTGCTTTCCAGCAGAGGTAGCCTGGGAAGCACTGGCACATTATTACTCACCTCCCTGGCTGCATGACCTTCGTCAAATCCTTTTCCTTATGTAGTTGATTCCTGCCATAAGAGATCCATAAAAAGGTCACAACCATCTCGTCCATTCCCTTCATTTCACAGGCGATAGAAAGGGGAAGAGCTCTGTTTAAGGTCATGCAGTGAGCACTAAGCATGTGTTTTGACTGTGTTCACTGCTTTTTCTGCACTCCATTTCTCAATTGTATTATCTGCCAAGGGGGGATAGTCTGTCGCATTCTGCTTCTTTCCTAAGATTCTTGTTAGAGTCAACAACAGTGAGGATGGTGACATGCTTTCAGATGTGCCATAGGGGAAATCACTAACAGAACTATTTGCCCACATAGACGCCATGGTAATGCCAGGCAGATGTTTGCCCTCCACTGAGATTCGGACCAAGCTCTTGACGTCATGGCCCAGGGTGGGTGGTGAGACCCTGGAGACCTGAAACTGGCTTCCCACCCCAAGGTCCTGTTTTGAATCCCTTTCTGCCCACCTCCTCCGGAGGACCAGTAATTAGTTCCTTGTTGTCTGTGTCAAGAAGAGGCAGCTAAATGATCAGAGCATGTTTTCTTTTGAATTTATCCTATTAGGAAGTAGATGATCTCAAAAGAAAAAAAATGTTTTTAGAAACTTCACTGAGCCCTGTGTAAACTCTAAGAAATGTCAAGAACCACTGGGGGAACAGGCGGAAGGCCACAGCTGCTTCCTGACAGCCTTATTGGCTGTGTGAATGCTTCCTTCCAGGAAGGGCCACCTGTGGCCTGGAGAAAGAACCATCTTTTGTCATGCCATAAAACTCTCTCTAGGGGGGTAGTGGGGTCTGCCAGGAGACTGCCTGCAGGACTGGCTTCCATGAGGGTGGAAAGAAAGGGAGGGTTGGTGGAAAATACCCTGGAAAGAAAGAAAGAAGAACCACTTCATCAGAGTCTGAACAACCAAAGGTCTTGTACTTTTGGTGGCTTACTGGAGCAAGTCTAAGCGTCCTTATAAACTGGCCTGGCTTTGATTCCACCCACTTATACTTCATTATCTGCTCACCTCATACACGACTAGAATGCTCACATGTCACCTCCATATCTCATTAGGATTACCTGAAAACCAACTAGCTCAGGGCTTTTTTGAAGTGTGGTCTCAGACCTGCAGCACCAGCTTCACCTAGGAACTCCTTAGAGATAACAAGTCTTAGGTCCCACCTCAGATCTACTGACTCAGATGCTCTGAGGATGGGCCCCGCCTTCTATGTGTCTGCAGGCCTCCAGGAGATTCAAATTCTCCTGACCTTTTAAGAACCACTGACCTAGGACACGGGTGGCTTGCCTGTGGATGGAACGCAGCTATACCTGCTGTGTTCACTGCTGCTCCAACCTGTGGATCTCACACTTCAGCACCATGAGGATGGTGTGGGTAAATCTGAGTCAGGAACCTTCACTGGAGGGCATAATGGCTTTATAGCACCTCACTCATATCACCTTGGAAACTGCCTATTCCCCTATGGCACAAGTTTGG